TTAAATAGCTATTTGGCTAGATCCACTCCTGTAGGCGCAGCAGACTGAAGTTATAACCAAGGGTATTTGATCTTGGATATAGATGGGCAGTTTTTGTATCTCTCCTTTTCAGAGGCAATCACTGGGATGAAGAGAAATCTAGTTCTAGGCTGTGTAGAAGGTGAGAAAAAACAAAGGTTGGGTGAGTCAGCAAGTCTGACGGACTGTACAAGACAACTCTGGGCTCCTTGTAAATTGGGAAGATAGCAAGCAACCTTCCCATTGCAGCTCCTCCTCCTCTTTCAATTTTAAGTCATGGGAACAATTTGTTTGGGTTGTGTGTGCCATTTGACAAAACACGGGGATAACTACAGCTCACTCCCCATAGATATTAGAGTTATTCAAGACAGAGAGGTTTCTGAGAAACAGAGTGAAGATATCAATATGGCCACTTTTCAGGAGATCCCAGTTTATTTCAGATGAGGTATATTCTTTTGCTGCAGTTACATGATTCTTCTTGGAGATGATCGCGTGTCTGATGGTTATAGAATGGCAATCTCAGAACAGGTGAGCAGGAAATGGGTTTATAGCTGTTGAAAGTACACGTAACCTGGAAGCCATCTTACCTTTTATGTTCTGGGTTTTAAAGTTTTTTTTAAACGTCCTTGCCTCAGGGATGGTGACCTGAACCTCACCTATTGTTCTTACCACATCTTAGAAGCAATATTTTCAGTCTGTCAGTAAGAAATGGTGTATCATTTCCATCAAGTTGAATTTTCTGTCTCTTTACTGCTGATGTTACCTTTCCAGATGCATTATGTATCCCTTGTTTTTCATCTTCTTCTCTTCCCCATGCACACTCCTTCCTCTTCTCCCCACATTGCCATTTTCCTCATTCTGTACTGTCTCAGCCCTGGTCTACACTAGGGAGTTATTTTGGAATAACCCCCCTTGTTTTGAAATGGCAAGTGGAGTGTCCACACTACCAAGCCCGTTATTTCAAAATAACAGGCTGATTATTTGTACTCCTGCTTTCCTGGGGGAATAACACTTATTTTGAAATTGTTATTTCGGAAAAGCATTAATGTGGAAGCACTGGTGCTGCTAATTTGAAATAATTGGCCTCCAGCGACCTCTCACAGCTGCACTTGTGGCTGCTCTGGCCACACCAGCCAGCTCCACTGCTCCCCTTCTCCTGCAGAGCTTAAAGCAGCAGTCTGCAAGAAAAGGGCTTGTGGCACATGAAGATCTTTGTCAGCACCTTCCCCTCCCCCACCCAGTCCCAGAGGCTTCCCCTTTTAGTGCCCCCAGGACATGCCAGGGCCCCAGAACTTAGGGTGGTGGGACCTTGAGGGCAGCTGAAGCTTCCTGAGCTGACTGAGGCAAGTGCCAGTTCCAGCCTCATCCCTAAGACCAACTCGCTGCTCTTTCCTCATTCCAAATTCTTTCCCTGCTTTTTTGTCCCCGGATGCCGCAGCCATGCACTGCAGCCCCTATCGCGAATGTCCTGTTCATGGCATGGGGGGCAAGGTACCGGCATTGTGCCGGGTGCTCATAGGCTGCAGAATGCCTTGCTGCCCCAGACGCGGCGGATAAAACGCATCCCAAACACAACGGGGTAGGCAGAGCCACGCACGTGACGTCAGAGCGATGTCACGTCGGACGCCAGAAGCAGCAGGGGATTTAAACGCCGCCCGGCACCAAGAGAGGATGTGTGTGTGTGTGTGTATGTGTGTGTATGTGGCATGTGTGGGGGGAGGCTGAGTGCCAGTGGGGCCCCCGTGGCACCACAGGGACCCAAGCTTGGGGGCAAAGCGCGGCGATCAAGCCGCTGGAGGTCCAGGTAAGCCCCACGTCGAAGCGGCCAGGCCAGTGGGAGACAGGAAGCAGCCCAGGGCATGGCAGCACTAAGCCCACGGGCTGATGGGTTTTGGCAAGGAGCCCCTGTCAGCCGGACCGGACCACAGAAGGTCCACGTCCTTAGGGCCCTTGGCTGGGGCCCGTGAGTGAGGACGGGCCCAGGCCCCCCTTCCCTCTTGCCCTCTGAGGAGGGAATACCCAATGAGCAGAGATGGAGATAACGCACCACTGCCCCCACCCCACCCCCAGCTACAGGTGGAGGCCCGGCACAGTTAAAGGTGTAGGCAGACTTTCTAGCATAGCGACTCCAAGACAAGACTAAGGGGAAGTTTGGGATATCTGAAAAGGGTCAGGGTAAAGACAATACGGCGGACAGACCGGACTGGTCACTAGCAGATAGATCAGACCCGTCACACTCCCAAATAAACATACTTGTTTTTTTTTAAAGGCTTTTTTATTTGCTCTGCAGGGGAGGTGGGAAGGTGGGGAGGGGGGGGCAGGGAAAGGGAGCGGTGGGAGAGGAAAGGCACACAAGGGGAATGCTGGGGGGCGGGCTTGTAGAGAGGCAAAGGGGAGAGTCTCATGGTTAGCCTTGGCTGAAACTCTCCCTCAAGGCCTCATGGATGAGCACATCCCCTTGATGTACTCATTGTATGGCACTGGTGTCCAGCTGCTAGTAAGCCCTGGCCAGCTGTTCAGCCTCTGCCCCTCACCCTGGTAGTACAGTCTCCTCCTTGCTCTCACAGAGGTTGTGGAGCACACAGCAGGCCACCACCATAAAGGGGATGTTGTGCTCTCTGAGTTCCAGGTGGGTGAGGAGACTCCTGAACCTCCTCTTTAAGTAGCTGAATGCACACTCCACAACCATGCGGCACTTGCTCAGCCTAGCATTGAAGTTCTCCTTGGTGAGGTCCAGGTGTCCTGTGTAGGGCTTCATAAGCCAGAGGAGCGAGAGGTAGGCTGCATCACCCAGGATGCACATGAAAATGTCCACATCTGTGACCCTGACAGTGTGGTCATGGAAAAAAGTGCTGGCGTGCATCTTCCGGAACAGGCAAGAGTTCTGGAAGATGCAGACATCTTGTGCCTTCTGAGGCACGGTGGTTGGGGGCCAGGATGGGAATGTGGGTGCCCTCTATAGCCCCCAACAGTTGGGGAAGCCCATGTTGGCAAAGCCATCAATGATGCTGTTGACATTTTCCAGAGTGACAATTCTCTGTAGCAACATGTGATTGATGGCCTTGGCTACTTGCAGGAGCATGGCCCCAACTGTGGATTTCCCCATGCCAAACTGGTTCCTGACAGAATGGTAGCTGCCTGGCACGGCAAGCTTCCAGAGGACGATAGCGATGTGTTTCTGCAGGATGATGGCAGGTTGCAGATGGGTGTCCTGTTGCATTAGGGCAGGGGCAAGCCACTCGCAGAGCTCCAGGAGGGTGGCCTTCTGCATGCAAAAGTTCTGGATCCACTGTTGGTTGTCCCATCACTGCTTGACAATGGGTCCCACCAGTCTGAACTGCTAGAAGCAGCATTCAACAGTGTCCAGAGGATTGAGGGGCATTTGCAGGAGTTCCAGGACCTGAGTGAAGAGATCCAGTTGGGGCTGGTTGTCATCCTGTTGGAGCAGCATGTGGGCAGTCTGGACGAATTGTGCCATGATGCGCAGCATGAGGTCTGCGAGCCTCGTACTGCTTTGCAGCAGCTCCAGCTCCCTATAATTAGTGCTGTGGCATCTGCAAGGGAAACCAGAGCACACTGGTATAGGCTCCACCACAGATTTTTGCAAAGAAAGAGGTTTGTCACTGAGCTACCAGGACTGTGCTCCACAGACTTCAGCATAATTTCGGGATGGGACAGAGACAAAAATACAGTGCTTCTGATCTACAGGATCTGAAAATGGAACATCCACATAAGAGCCTTGACTTTTATTCCAAAGAAGGAGAGCACGGGAACATTCCCGATGTGAGGCAGAGACCTGAATCCTGCTACCCTTATCCATATTGTTAAATATTTCTATTGTGGTGGCTTCCAAAGATTCCAGTCAGGATTGGAGCCAATTGTGCTGAGTGCTGTACAAACAGAAAAGAGACAATTCTTGCTTTGAAGGATTTACAATGGAGATTGGCCAAAAATGTCCAATTGGAACTGGTTGCCAGTGAAAAACTGGGTGTTGCTTTAACTTGATGAAAAATTAAACCAAAACCTCAGAAACCAAATGTCCAAAACCACAAACATTCTGAGTTGGCTATGCTGCTGCAGAACCTTATGGGAGCTGTCATTTAGTTTCAGTTGAAATACACAAACAAACCAAAGGCATGGGCTACCACCTGCACAGGGTGGGCAATATACCGCCTGCACAGATCCACACGTCACTCAAAGTGGCCAGCTACTGGGGCAAGCATGTGAGCCCTTTGTGGGGAGGAGGTCAGTGGGTCTCCGTGTGCTGCCCCTCCCCACCCCCCAGCTCCATCTTCACTGTGGGTTGGTGCTTGCAGTTATGGGCAGCACACACAGCCCTGCTTCCCCCCTCCTACCAAGGGGCACAAAGAGACATACTTGTCCCATCAGCCAAATGCTAGGAGTGGCATGTGGGCCACCAGCCAGGAGCGACCTATGGTATGCACCTCCTGGCCAGAGTTTGTTCCTGGCACCCCCTCTCATACCCCAAGCCCCCTGCCTCAGGTCACTCCTTCTTCATTCACTCAAACTCCTTCTCAGATCCCACATTCCCTCCTGCACCCAAGTCCTCTGCTTGGAGCTCCCTCCTGAACCTGAACTCTGCCCCAGATCCCGCACCCCCTCCATTAATACAGTGCAGTCCATGACCACTTACCAAATTCTCGGAGTGGCCCCCCTGAAAAAACTATCACCTACATACAACAGCATACAACATACTAGTTCTCTTGCATTCAAGTAGTAACAATGATTTCATTGGGATTATTTACAAGACTAAAGGCTGCTCACCAAAGTAAAAACTGCAAGATCAAGCCTGCATCACGAAACACGTGCCTATGTTGTGTGTTACATCCCACGTAACCAGAGCATTGCTCTGATTTCACAGGAGAAGCCCCATGTAAAATGTGTATGTCAGAAACTAGCCAACAGTGAAGGGCCTACATAGTGATGAGTAAAATGAAGATTTTGTTTCTTTCTTCTCACAGATTGACCATTTCTGCTGAATGCCCCATGCAGCTTGAAGACTTCCCCATGGATGCACATGCTTGCCCACTAAAATTTGGAAGCTGTAAGTTCTTGTCACGGTTAAGAACTATTACTATAGTTTTGACTTGTCTTTTCATTTTCAGCCACGACAGTTTGTGTGCATCTTTCATTAGATATGGATGATCTGATCCCCTTCAATCAGCCATCCCAGCTTTTAAAGTCTGATAGAGAGCAAACTCTGTGTAGCAGCTACTTTCCAGATCATGTATACATCTTGATAAACTGCATGTCACAAGGATGACAGAGAGTGGGGGTATTTTAATAATCCCTATTCAGTACTAGATGCAACCAAATAACTTTTTAAATTATTGATTTTTTTACAGGTATGGAAAAGTGGAACTTTTCCAAGTGTCAAGTATATTCCTTCAGAGCTTACATATGTACCACTTTGGAGTATGTCTACACAGCAGGTCTAAAGTCGGAATAAGCGACCAACTTCAGCTACGTCAACTGCTTAGCTTAAGTTGAAATAGTGTATGTTGGCTTTTGGCACTGTCCACACAGCAGGAAATCCAAGGAAGAACACTCTTCCTTTGACTTCCGTTACTCCTTGTGAAATGAGGGTTACCAGGAGTCGGAGTAAGAAGTTCTCCAGCTAAATATTATTTTAAAATAAAGGCTTGTAGTTTAGACACACTCTTTGTTATTTTGGAAATACACTGCTGTGTAGATGTGCCCTTGATGTTTTCTATCTATGTAACACTGACTACCACAAAAGCTCATGACACCATCTACATGTTTTGTTAGTCTATAAAGTGCTACCAGACCATTTGTTGTTTTTTTTCTGTACAAACTAACTCGGCTACCCCCTAAAGCTACAAATATAGATTATAGCTATCTAGGAGTTAGCAAAACAGGAAATTCTGCTCATCTTATCTTTGATAAATCCAATTCTACAGCTTGTTACACAAACCTGCATTCATACACATACTAACATTATAGTTTCATGCACACTACTGTTGGCATATATGCGCACACATTATCCTCTAAATTGTGTGCCGAAGAGATGATATTTCTTGATACCCTGAATCTGTAATCCACCATAATGCTGCCCTACCAGCAGCTTACTTTAAAAATAACTTTAGGGGATTGTATGGCTATATTTAAATACAAAGCCCTTAATTAAAGTACAGAGTAGGCTACTAGAATAGATATTTTTTATTTCAGTAATCAAAACACAGATTTCAGGTGGAATGAAACTCTCCAAAGGCTTTTGAAGTTACCAGTCAGGGTTTTTAATGAGTCCCTGAAACAAGTTAACTGATGGATTCCCTGCCTCCTGTTTTTTAAACGTATCAATGTAGATTCTATAATCCTACCAAGATTAATCTTTGCTTTTATCTGCTGTATGTGTGCTGCTTTAATATTTGTTATGCATTGTTTTCTTGTGATCCCTAATGTTGATAACAAGAAAAAAATACTGCATACAGTAATGGTTATCAAACTCGGTTACTTGATTTCCCTTCCCTCAAAGTGCAAATAAATAAACAAATAAACAAACACCCAGATTCAAATGTGTTTTACGGTAGGTTCAAATGCATCAGTTAAATGGATTGATGTTAACCAGTGACAATATAATTTATAGTTCTGTCACTCACTTGCATTACAAAATCCTAACTTAAAGATTTAAGAACAAACTACAGATTTTACTTCAAAATCATAAAATGAGATACATGGATTCACGTGATTTGTGTGAGAGAAGCTAATTGCATACTGCAATAAAAATCAGAATAAAAAATTCACCCTCTAAGGTATTCCCAACACCATGATATCTGGGCTCACTGCAATCTTTCACGTGTTTCTGCAAAAATATCCCTGTGAGGTAGGGAAGTGCCGATATCCTCATTTTACAGACAGGGAACTGAGGCACAGAAAAACAAAGTGACTTAACCAAGCCAATGCAGGAAGTATATAATAAAGCAGGGAATTGCAACCACATTTCTTAACTCTTAAGTTAATACCCAAACCACTGAACCATTCTTCTACTTCTGTTAAGGGCTTCAGATGTTTGCTACTGTTCTTCGATATAGTGACAACTGTGGCTTTTAAAGTGCAACACGGTCATAATGTAGAAGTATTTCATTTGGCAGATTTAAGGGCTTTACCATATTTACTGTAAAGAATCTCTATGTGAATGCTCCGAGTGTGAGAAGTAACTTTATTTACTATAATTTGTATTTAGGTTAGCAAAGGCTCCAGTTCAGTAAAGCATTGAAGCATATTCTTAAATGCTTTGCCAGAGCAGGTCCAATAGGCAGTTTTCCTACCTTCTTTCTCCTCCCCACCCAGACAGGCATGGGCTCTTGAACCTCTGCTTGGGGGAGAATAGCTCCTAGCCCCACCTCTTCCTTCTATGTTCATGCCCTTTCCCCTGAGGCCACACCACTTCTGTGTGATCTGGAACCCAGAGCCCTCCCACGGTGGCCACTGGCCCTCACCACAGGCTGTCTAGTGCCCAGTCCCCTCTCTCCAGTCATCCTCTTCAAGTCTGCTTTCCATTTCCACAGGGTCCACAAGGATTTCATAATAAGCATGCTATAACCCATATACACCTCTCCTTCTTTCCTCTTCCTCTTTCCCCTAAATATATTTATAAGCAGCCCTCCAGGAGAAAAACAGCAGGAAATATAATGGAAGTAAATTTTAAACACTAGATCAGTAGAATAGGTTGAGGGGGCTGGGGAAAGGAAAAATGCTAACTAGTCAGTGGGCACACAGAGTAGCAAGAGGCAGAACAAAGGAGTGAGTACATGGACAGATGAGCAGGAGAGTTGATTTTTGAGAAGCAACTGGAAGGTAATCAAGGTGGCGGGAGGATATTGCTTTTTCTGGTTGCATGTATGTACATTGAACTGTTGATATTCTGAAAGGCAGAGTCAAATGTGGCATGACATTCCTTCAATATTAAAAAACTCTCTGGTACTGACAAAGATCAATCTTGCTGTTTTATTTTCCATGTGGGTGGCTTATAGTTAGGTTTGAATCACAGAATGATAGAACCATAGGGTTAGAACGGACCACAAAATTTATCTAATCTATCCCCTGCCAAGATGAAGGATTTGCTTAGCCAAGATAGATGGCTAAAGTTTGAATTCTATGAGTGCCTGGGATCAGAACTGTTAAAGAGGAAGGATAGCTCAGTGGATAGTCTATCATGTGGGATCAAGTCCCTGCTCCACTACAGACTTCCTGTGTGGCTGTGGGCAAGTCACATAGCCTTTCTGTGCCTGAGTCCCTGTATGTAGAATAGGCATGAATGTACTTCCCTACTCAAGAGGTGTATTGTGAGGACAACTATAAATTTTTAAGCTCTCAGGGTACAGCTACACTGTGGTTTTTCTTTCAGAAGAGGTATGCAAATAGCACTCGAATTTGCATAGCTTCTTCCATTTTTTTCCCCAGAAGAGGCTTTTCCACCATTTGGCCCCGTCTACATGGGGCCAAATATCAGAACCCCCCTTTTTTGAAAGCCCCCTTCTTCCTCGTAAAATGAAGTTTACAGGGGCTTTTGAAAGAGGGGTTTTTCACCAATATTTGGCCCTGGGTAGATGGGGCCAAATGGCAGAAAAGCCTCTTTCGGGAAAAAAAACAGAAGAGGATGTGCAAATGCAAGTGGTATTTGCATGCCTTTTCCAGAAAAAAAACCCACAGTATAGCCGTACCCTCAGAAAGGCTACAGTAATGGGGGCTCTGTGAGTACTGTAAGTAGATGGGACTTTGTTCTGTAGCAACAAGATATTTTGCCAAAATAATTCAAAGTAAGGGGTAGCTAGGGGATGGCAGGACGGGACGTGGGGGGAGGGGAAAATGTGCATAGTGATATAGAATGAACACCACACGTGTTAGGCAACTAGTACCTTCATGGATAAGTCCCATTTTTAGGAACTGCTGCAACCCACACAATTCCTGCTAAGCTGCCACCACATCTAAACTCACTCTCTGGACATGTGCGGTGCTGCCTCACAGTAGACACCCAGATACTTATGATTTTCTGCCTAAGCCCCAGTACAAATAAAACCTGGAAAGATGCATTTTTGTCCACTTGCAGGGTCTAAACTGGTAGGGATTCTCAAATTAGCCTTAGCCCCTCAAGTGAGTTCACATAAAAGAGTCTGGGAAGGAGACATTTAGCCCAGTGGTTAGAGTAGTGGTGGGCAGCCTGTGGCCTGGGGACCTCATGCAGCCCAATAGGGTAATCTGATTACAAGCGGTGAGAATTTTTGTTTACACTGGCTGTCCACAGGCATCAGCTCCCAGTGGCCACATTTCTCTGTTCCGGGTCAATGGGGCTATGTCTAGACTGCAGGCTTCTTTCGAAAGAGGCTCTTTCGAAAGCATCTTTCAAAAGAGCCTCTTTCGAAAGATCGTGTCTAGACTGCAGGCAGATCTTTCGAAAGAGAAATCCGCTTTTTCGAAAGAGAGCACCCAGCGAGTCTGGATGCTCTCTTTCGAAGACGGCCTCTTTACATTGAAGAATGCCTTCTTTCGAAAGAGGAGCTTTCGAAAGAAGGCATTCTTCCTCGTGAAATTAGGTTTACCGCCATCGAAAGAAAAGCCGTGTTCTTTCGAAATAATTTCGAAAGAACGCGGCTTGAGTCTGGACGCAGGGGAAGTTTTTTCGGGAAAAGGCTACTTTTCCCGAAAAAACCCCTGAGTCTGGACACGGCCTGGGAGCTGAAGGAAATGGTGGCCTGCACAGCTCTCTGTCCTCTTTGCATGTAGGTGCCACTCTCACAGCTCTCATTGGCCAGGAACAGAGACCCACAGCCTCTATGAGCTCAGGGGGGCAGTGCCTGCAGACAATCACTGTCAGCAAAACGTCTTGTGTCCCTCAGTTGGATTACCCAGATGGGCTGCATGAGGTCGTAAGGCCCCAGATTTCCCACCACTGGGTTAGAGTGCTCACTGGGGCTTTGGGAAAATCCCAGTTCAATTCCCCACCCAGCGTGAAGGGATTTCTCAGGTGAGAGCTCTAACCAATGGACTGCACAGTCACTCCCACTGTATATTCAGTACTGAAGT